CATTTGTTGTACTTGACATAATGTATGCATTTAATTTTTTTCAGTCTGGAATTGCAAGACATCTCTTCACTCAAATTATAACATTTCCTTTTCCTTTTTCTTTTCTTTTCCCGTTTGTAGATTTAGATTTTAGTGTAAAAACATAATTGAACTGCTTTCTCCATTTTCTTCAGCTGGATGGATTGGAAATGATGCAATTTCCCCAATCATTGGCGAACACGACCCGTATTATCATGTATCTGCAAGGGTATGATTCATATTCGCGATGTTTTTACTATTTTCGATTTTCCACTTTGCATTACCTTGTGTTGGACCACAAATTGCATCTAAAAAGAAAAAATCCCCTATAAGTTTGGAAAGAAGAGATTTTTCTAACTGCTACCCATTGTTTTTCATTCATTATTATGTCAAATGTTATAATGTGAGTTTTGTGCCTTATTCAGGAGATAAATCACCTTCATGCAGCTGCCGTTTTCATGACAGCTCTGATGATTGTTGCGTTTTTATCCTCTATTGCTATAGTCCGCCGTATTCTCATGGCAACATCAGTCCTGAAGGTACATTATGTTATTTTCATGTTATTGAAAAGCTAAAATGTATTTTTTCCATCCAAGGAAAAAAAAAAGAAAAAGATAAGAACAATAAATAACATGTTTTATACTGCCATGATTTTTATACCCATTTGTGTAATGTTTCTTGAAATCCTTCGACACTCTAATGTTTTCAATTTTCTGTTTTAAGTTCACAACATGTAATTTGAAAATTCAAGTTACTAATTGAAAACATCAAGGGCTTTCGAGCTATTGTTACTAATTTGAAAATTCACAGTTTAAGATTTTTTTTTTTTTTTTTTTTTTNGACATTCGAGAGAAAAACACCAAGGATGTGATGCATGCATTGGGGAGAGAGAGAAAGAGAGATAACATGAGCACGAGAAAACAAGTTTCTAAAAGATTAAGATAAACTTTTAAGGCCGTGCTTGTTTATAAAAAAACTAGAAAAAAATCTATCTCAATTCAAAATCTAACTCAACTTTAACTCAACCCCACTATCCTTAATATTATCAATATAATTAAATAATTTCATTCAATCATTCTTGCATATCACATCAACTTTAATTCACTATTCATCCACTCTCGCATAAATTTTAACTACCTATCATTTCCAATTATTTTCAATCATTTATCTCCTACTTTTACATCAAATAAATTTTTAATCATTTTATTTTAAATATTATTTTAATACAAACTTAATATCCTACTAACAACTAACCATACTAACTTTTTTTAAAATAAACTCCAATTAACACAAAAAAAAACCAATTTTTTCTTTAGTTTTTTTTTAATAAACAAGCACGGCCTAAATCTTCCATGCACTTTTCAATTCCTTTTCATTTCTTATTTTAACCAGCTTCTCTCTAAAATTCCAGGTTGCTGCAAAAGTGATTGGAGAATTACAGGCCCTGATAATCTTCCCAATCATACCGTACGCCATACTAGCTATTTTTTACATGTTCTGGCTATCGGCTGCTCTTCATCTTTTTAGCTCAGGAAGTGTTGTACAAAATGACTGTAGTGCTAATTGCTGTGCATTTGATCTCAAAACAATGAAGCTGAGCTGTAATAGCTGCTGTGGCTATACAGTCCACTACACGTCCCATATAGCTGCTGCTATTTTTTTCCATCTGTTTGGAGGTTATTGGGCCACTCAGTTCATCATTGCATGCTCGTCTACTGTTATAGCTGGATCAGTTGCTTCATACTATTGGGCTCGTGGGGAAATCTCGGTAAGGGTCTGAGCTATATAATCTTTTTCTCTAAAACTAAGCACAATTATGGTAAATGTCGCTTAAGCAAAAAGCACAAGAATTTTATCTGTATTTATTGTTAGTTGGAAGTATGTGTATTTTAGTAAATGAACTATCGACATAAGAGTAATTTAGCAAAAAAAAGGTTTTATTTTTTTAGTGAAGAAAGTGTCAACTATTCACTGTTTCTGAAAAGACTAACCGAAACGACTCTCATTGAGATGGAGGGAGTATTCTCTTAACCGAAATTTCAGTGTATGGGTTGTTGTTGT